CAGAGGGCGTGTAATTTTTGACTGCTATATAAATTTATTGGGAAAACGTTATTCACCATCTAGTGCCACCTAAAACATAATATAAACAATGAGTTAGAGTCTAAAACAAACGCATCACTGATTCTCAGCAATCATCGGTCTAATGATTAGTTTAAGATGCTGTGATCACATCTGTGTTCTGGAATGTCCATTTACTGTCCCGTAGTGTAGTGGAATTTTGCGTGTAGCTGCACACGAATCTCACTGGAGAGACCCTCACTAGTGAGCTATCTTGTACTCTCCCGACAGGTGACGGGCCTGACTGCAAAGCACAGCCTCAGCTCTGGCCTACAGCGCGGCTCCAGGGCTCCCGGCGCGGTGTCGGTGTGCGCGTCTGTCTGCGCACCAGGGAAAACTTAGTGTGTCTAGTAAACAAGTGCAACATTACTGGTAACTACTCTGCAAGTTTAAATAGTCTCATTATTTGTAAACAAAAAAAACCCCACACACATACTCTATTTTTTAAGAATCTGTCAAACCATAATTGTATGTTTTACTTCAACACACATGGAGTTTCTGAAAGGTATATGTATTACCTTAGACATTAAGATTTAGCAATGAATGCTTCGTATTTTATACTATGAAATGTGTATTTCTAACATTTGTTTTATGCAGCATGAAGTTTGGGTCGAGAAATTCCAAATCCTGGATACCCACAGTTCACTTAGAAAATTCCTCCCAGTTATGGCTCCGCAGCAGGTTTAACAGATTAAATATGAAGTGTTCCAGCTCCCTCTATTTCAAGTATCAAAGAAATATGAGGCTCAAATCTCTCTAGGTTGTAAATGAAGATACAAGTCTAGAGGAAAACATGTCTTGAAATAAAGTACTAAATTGAAACAAGATTTGTAGGCTAAGTGTTTATCTGTGGTAGGCTGTTTAGCACTAGGACTTTAAAACGATTTTCATTTTGCATATTTACTAAAAAGTGATAAAGGACACAATTTCCCTATAAATACACAGTTCTGGAGAAAAAAATTCTGAAAGTTTTTAACATTTTTACTTTAGCTTTGTTTCCTTTTGAATGAGACCAATTTAAATTTTAATCTGAACATAAATATTTGGTTTTACAGTACTTAGAACGAAATGACTTACTCTACAAAGAAACATATGTTTAAAGTACTACAGAAAGAATTTACTAAGACCGTGTAAAGTCAATGGAAACAGAAATTCTGCAGTACAGAAAATGTCTGGTACCCTAGTTTCAGAGTGAGCTGATCAATCTTAATGCCATAAAAAAAACCCCAAAGAGTCAAATCTAAAAAACTGCTGCAATAAAGCATTATTTGTGAAAGTCGCAGACCCGCTCCCAGTCTGACGGCATGCTCCTAGAGTAGGCAACTTCCCACCTTTCTGAGGCACACTGAGTTTTCAGCTTAGAAAAGAACCTAACCTGGTCCATAACATATTCAGCAAGGAGTATGAATATTTTAAGGTCTTCCTGCTTCTTTAAAAAGAAAAAGCAAAAAAACAGATGTCTCACTAAGGAGTAATAAGAAATATACCCTACTTTAAGATGTCAGGCTTTCTCAAGCTGATGCAATTATATAAAATTTTAAGAATCATGTGAAAGTGTGGAATCAACACTATGAAAACTGCGACAAAATTAAACATCCTATGTCGAAACTCTAGCTTTAACTCAAAAACAGAAATCATGAGCTGCTATAACATTAATTTTAAAAACATAGAAGTGAAAAGTGCTATTCTTCAAAAAGTACAATTTTTCTCTCTACTATATAACACGGAATGATTTCAGTTTTCCTGTACTAAAAGCTGAAATTTTAAAAACTAGTATTGCAATGTTTAAGACAACAGTTTTAATCAGTAGTCGCTTCTGTTTCAGCTGGACCCCTAATAAGTCTTCCTATTCCTCTTTTTCCTGCAGGACCTTTGGGTTTTGCAAAACTCTGCTTATGTGCATGCTGCTTGGGATGTACTTCCTCGTAAAGGAAGTCGGCAGTCAGTTCATCCCCATTGTCTATCTCGATCTTTCTGACCACCTCCATCTGCAGCTGTCCTTCCACAATGTCGAGCAGCGGGTTCTTGCAGCTGGAGTACAGCATCCGCTCTCTTATGCTGCACGTGTATCCCGGCATCGAATAAATAAAAACTATGGACTCTAAGTAGTCTCCTTCGTGCGAATGTTTATACAGAAAGAAATGATAACGTGCTGAATCTTTGGGAATCCTCTTTGGCAAATCTTTTAGTTCTGTATTTGTCGTATTGGCCAAAACGATAATTTCATTTTTAAAATCAATTTCCAATTGCACGTAGTTCAACTGTCTGCTGTTCAGTTTTTCTAAAGCTTGAAAAGCTTCTCGGGAAATAGGAAATGCTACTCCCTGTAGTGTTTGATGCTTCGTGTCCACACCAACGTCAGCTTGTACCACATTGATTTTGATCTGTCGTAACTCTTCCTCCGCTGCGGTCAGGGGTGCGGGGGAAGACTGGGACAGCAGATACTTCTTATACCCGTGCAACGACACGTCCTCCTTTACTGTACCAAATACTTCGTTTTTAATGTGGCCACCACCAAACTCCTTTTTCAGAGTTGCTCTTGTTGCTGCGTACAACATTTTCTGATGGACATGGGAATGATCTGGAGACCACGCAATGAATATCCACTCGTACCCTTGGGCGTTCTGAGAATCTAACTTGAATAATATATAACATGGCTGCTTGTCCTCCAACAGGGGCAGAATGAAGGCGTCGTAATCCTTATCCCAGGAAGCTGAAGGCTGACTACATGATCCAACCACAAGCTGCTCATTTTCAATAGATATTTTCAGAAGTCTGTATTTTCCATTTCTGGCTCTGGCAAAGATCTCTTTAACATCTTCACTTGCTTGGATGCCGGTCTGGTGGGACATGGCGGCGGCCGCGGGCTCGGCTCCGGCGCTCCAAAAGCCAGTAGTCTTAAACAACTGTGGTGTCCACCTTACAGAATCCCTCTCTGACAAGCAGGGAGGTTTTCCCTTTCTTCTTTCTATTGAAGATGCACTTCATCATTTCCCACTGTTTTCTGTGTGCTATTCTGTTGGTTTCAATATTTGTTGCCCTAAAACAAGGACCCAGGTCACAGTACAAGAGGGAACTGGTTACAATAAGATCTTAAAGCTAATCACATCTTTCTCCTATCATCAATAGCTGCCTAAAACCTTGATAGCTAACCTACACAACTTTGTCTAGAATACTGTCATCTTTCAAGATCAAATGAGCTCACTAGAAGCAGCGGCCATAGAACATCACAGGGCACTAGGTCTCCTAACTTCTGACACAGAAGGCTTATGTCTGTCTCTTTAAAAAATGTAGTTCCTACATAAATTTGTCTGAAACAGTTAGAGATATAGCACAAACACTGGTTCAATGTTTTTCTAAGACCTGCAAAAACTAATCCATGACTCTCCTGGCCAAATATCTGAAATTGGAGGTCTTGGTTATTGTCCTGGATGTGACCTTTATTAATGCTTCTTATAACCTTACTAGTTAGATCTTACAACCTTACTGTTTAGATACTTAATCTCTCAGTCAAATGAGAGATTGTTTAACAGCCATTAAACTGCTGACCCTAGCCCAAGATCAAAATCAACCTCCACATCCACAGTTCATAAAAAATCCTTGAGGATAAAAAAAAAATTAGCCCCTCCCCTTTTTTGTCTTTTTGAAAGTATCTCACTATGTAGTTCAGGCTGGTCTTGAACTCACTTTGTAGCCCAGGCTGGCCTGGAACTCACAATGGTCCTCCTGTCTCAGCCTCCTGAATGCTGGGATTACAGGCTTGCACCACCTCACCCAGCTACTTAGCTCTCTTGAACACATAGATGTGTTAAAGTGATTGCTGGTCTCCTTGGTCTCCCTGTAGATAGGGCCAACACCTCTGTTTAGTGGGAAACAGCCATAAAGGATACAACTTCTGGGGAGGAGGGAGTAGTACAGTTAGAATAATAGCTCTGAGGAAGTCACTCTATACTAGACATTTAATTTTAAAAGCATTCTACAGCCATTCCTCCTTCCATTACCCTAAGAGAGATAGAAAATAAAATAACAAAAACCCAAGAGATCTCTGATGCTCTAGGTGAGAGTACTTGGTGTTGGATCTCCCAGCCTGACCTTCAGTCATTTTCATTCTATTCCCACCTCAGTAAGGGTTCATAAATATATACTACTACACATCATGCATGTAATTAAGATCAGAATGAACAAGCATGCACATTGAGAGCCCAGTATGACTCAGTACTCCATCAATCATTCCTGTCAGTCACACCTAGACAACCAGCATGAGGCACCTGGGCTTAAGTGCATATCCTCTAAATTATGAAAGCCAGATTTATTGGGGGCTGTGGCTACTGATATTTCCATATGCTATGACTTGTGTGCAGTGCCTTTACTTTTCTGTCACCTGACACCATTTTTCTGTGTCATATCTTTTATTGGCACAGATTTGTCCTGAGCACAACTTCCCTTGATTTTCAATAAATGTAGCTGTTTGCTACTTCCTGCTGGGTGTACACTTGGCAATTCTTTGCACATCAGACACAAAATACTGGACTATACCTGCCCATTTCACAGTAATGGAGTCCCCAGCACCCTGGAATCTGCTAACACACATGCGCAGGAATACATTTGCTCATATCCATCATAGAATATTCATTTCCTCTTAGTAGTGAAATGAAACATTCATTTAGCAAATCAAGCAATTTTTCAGGTATTAAGTAGTTTTTTTCAATTGTTTATTAGTACATATCTGTAATACATAGTGATCATATTCCTTATAGGGAGTTCACAACTGTACATAACACCTTCAAAATTCTTTTTTTATCCCTATCATTTCCCCTCCTTTTGAAGTAGTTATATCAGCTGTTATCAGATAGTTCCAACTAGATGCAACTTGCCAAATAAATGTTACTGAGTTCAGGGTTGCTTGCCTATCCTTCTGGAGTTGGAGTCCAGGTTCTTCTCATTTCAAAGAATTGAATGTAAGGAGCAAAAAGCAGTGTCAAACTTTATGTGACAAAGTAGAAGTAAAGATTGAAGGAGAAACTTGCTCTGCAGAGCAAGCTTGGGCTGAGTAAAAGAGGAAAAATGTAGATAAAAGAAAACCCTGGAGAAATCAGGGGAGGCTATCATGAGGGAAGTCTCAATACCAAATTCTTCTTGGTGTCTGTGTCCTTTTATACTGCTCAATTCTCAAGGAAATCCACAAGAATTTTTACATATGGGTCCTGAGAGGCAGTGCTGGGATCCCATACATCAGGCTGATGATAGGTCTAGGCCATCCTATTGAAAACCTGCTGGAGTTCTCATGAGAAATGTAGGCAGGAGTTTCAGAACTGTTCTGTGAAAGTATTCTGGGATCTTCTAATTAACAGGTCACTCCTACTTTCCCAGCCAGTTTTGCCATGCCCTGATCTCCTATGTCAAAACTATCTGTGACAATTGAAAATTTTATTTAAAAAAATTACTACATCTTACAATTGTGTTCCAGTATTCTACTTTTCCTATTTCTTCCCTGACAATTTCTTTTTCTCTCTCTCTTTGAACCAGGTGGTTGATCCTAGAACCTTCACACTGAGCTACATCCCTAGCTTTTTTTTTTTTTTTTTTTTTTGAGATAATGGTCTTACCAAGTTGCTAATTGCCCAGGCTGGGTTCAAACTTGCAATCCGCCTGCTTCAGCTTCCCAAATGCTGGGATTACAGGTGTGCACCACCTAGTTTAAAGTCATTTGGCTAAATTAATCTATTCAATTATTATATATTAAGCTCTGGTTGAACTTTGGGTAAAACAAGAAGCAAAATTACTTTATAGCCATATGATAGAAAAATATGTAGCCATCCAAAATGGTTACGTAAACCTGTATTTACTGAACTGTAAGATGTTTTTGTCAGGGCCAGGGATATAGCTCAGTGGCACAGTGCCTACCTGGCAAGTGCAAGGTCCTGAGTTTGATTCCTGCACCAAAAATTACATAGTTATGTGTATTTTGTGTACTAAATGAGTTTCCTTTTAAATTAGGTAGGAGAAACCCACTTTCTGTCCCTCTGATATAAAATAGGTCTTTTCATTACTAAAATCTAGCTCATCCTTAGAGAATATACATGCCAATATAAGAAACATAGGACTCCTTCCACCAGGTAAAGGATGCTAGGTAGATGGCAGTTCTTAAGAGTTGGAGGACAGGTTTCACTGAGACAGACTCGCTATGATTCTCCTCTACACTCTAGAGGAAATGTCAAGTGTGTTCTGCTTCAATTTCCTTTCTGGTCTGATCATCCCCTGGCAGGAGGTGATCTTAGCTCTTGAGATTCCCTATTCTCACCTTTGCAGGCTAAGAATGATGACTCAGGGGCAAATCATCTCTATAACTCACCATGAGCATGAGAGAAGACTTCCTTCTCTGGCCTTACTTCTAATCCTTTCCTAACATGTTGTACTTTCCTCTTTTTCTTTGGAGGTATGTAAGACTAGAGAAAAAGAAATCTAAATTGTTCCAACCTTTTCCTCTTATCCAACAACTTAAGTGAAGCCCATAGAAAATGAGCATTTGCTAATACCAAAGACAGGGAAATCATCTTAGATGAGGGACACACACCCCATCACTGCGTCAGATGAAGCACTGGAATTTTGCCCATCCAGGAGAACACACATAAAAGCCATGTCCCAGCTTCAGGAGACTGAAACTGAGACACCGTAGAAAGAACTGACTTCTGGATGAAACCAGAAGGAGCTATTTCCAGCATCCCCCACTTATGGGACCAAATCACATTCAGCCTAAGGGAGGGTCTCCAACCTTTCCCCTTCCCCTCCTAGGTCTAATTGTCATTTATATGCATAAAAGAAAATACTTTGAAAATAAACTGTGGACTTTAAAACCTTTACTGTAAACTTATGAAGTGCTAGGTAATGATCTTGCTCAGGCTATCCCTTATAGAACTTTGGCAAATGTGTATACTCTGCCAGTTAAATGCTCTTAGAGCAACTGCCACTCTTAAAAAAGAGGACAGGTTTCCCCAGCATCATATTTGGTGAATCCCCATTGAAAACAATGACCAGTGGAATGTTGACCAAACAGACAGTTGGATTCCTTTCTGGAAACCAATCTCTGGTTTCCTGGGCCAATAGAAACTGAGGACAACTGAGGTATCATGGCCAGGGCTTCTCTCTGGTGGATACCCAAAGTTTCCTCAGCGGAAACTGGCTCCTGACCACAGAAAAATCTCCACATATCTTAGTTTTTTCTTTTTACTATTAAGTCAGAAACCCAAATTTGTCTCCAAATTAGGCTACCCACCCCATGAATCAGGCTGAGGCAACTTGCAACAACTGTTTGCCTTTCATGGAGGAAAACAATTATCAGGGGAATGATTTACATTTGTGTCTTATATATGCTAAGACTTAAGAAAGAGACTTAGTTGGTCTTTTCTCTCATGTGTGCATAGAAGACCAACAAATGTGCCTTTACTAACATGTGAAATGTGACTGCTAGATAAATATAAGTTTAACCTGTGAACTTCAAAGATATAAAAATTTAAATAAAGCATAGCCTTGTCCTGCTGCTAGGAAAGGTTGCCTAGAATAACACAAGTGTCTTGGAGACTTCTTTGCCCTAGGGCCCAGAGCAGAATTTCTCCAATCGTTACTTCTATCTCTAGAGGTAATCTTCACAACCTGAGAAGTACTGTACTTCCAACTCACTTTTTGGTATATACCCTCTTTCAAAGAACAAAAGCAATAGTTTATTACAAAGTTATGCTTCTTCTTTAAAACATTACTGTCACAGTTGGGACCAGTTGTAACTTGTGCTTATAAGTGTCCTACAGGAGTAGGTTCACCAGCTCCCTGGGAAGATGAAATTGGGCACCAGTTTGAAGGTGGATAGGTTGGTCAAATTTTGTCTTCTGCTTTCTCTTCAGAAAGCATCACCTGCCCTGGAGTAGAATC